CTGAGGGGATGGGAATATTAACCCATGACTCAGAGAATGATTAAGGAGAAATAGGCCAGGAAGAAACTATCCAATAGTAAGGCATCTGTGACCTCAGATGTTTAGGGAGATAAAGCCAAACTGCAGTGGGTAGTGTGAAGTAGAGAGAGCATGAGGAAGTAGAGACAAGTATAAACCTTTTTTAAAAAAGGTTTTGGTAAGGGGGGAAGAAACTAAGGAGGTTCTTTTTTAATAGGATGGGAGAAGATAATGGATAGGGTGAAGTCTTAGCAGGATCATATAATTAAGTCCTGAAATGGGGAGTGGTTGCCTTAAAAGAAAAATACTTGAATCAAGATAGAAGAGGATGGATGAATATGAATGGATTGTTGAGTTATAGAAGAGAATAGTTGAGAGCCCACATCAGATCCTCTTAATCTTTTTAGTAGAGTTGGAGTTGTGGTCACTTAATAAGGATGAAGGAGGACTGGGTAGAATTAGAGGCTTAAAAGGACCTAGAATTTTTAAGAAAAAGCATTGAGGCAGTTTATTTTAACATTGTTTTGCAACTAACTGCTCAACCTGGCTAGGGTGTTATTGAGAATATATTTAAACTTGTCATAGTGGTTGTTTGCTTTTGTACTTGTTGGTCTGCAGACTTTTTGTAATTGGAATTACTGAACAGAGCTGGCATAGCCACAACTTTCTAGAAGTTCTTTTAAAATAACCTTTTGTTTTTTATTGAAGCTATAAAATAAAGGAAGGAAGGGAGGGAAGGAGGGAGGGCGGCAGACAAAGGAAAGGGAAGGGAAAGGGAAGGAGGGAAAGGAACTGTCATGAAATACCAATTCAGAAAGCAAGGTGGCACTCTGAGCATCTAGGAGGGACTGAAGGTCTAGAGCAGAGGTTTTCCAAGTAGATTTTGTATCAAAAGGACCCCAGAGCTTAATAAACATACAGACCCCAAAACTTGAAAGTCTGATTCTGATTCAGTACATTGGGAGTGTGGGGTTAACTTAGGCATCTTTGTTTGTGTAGAGATGTTTTTAAAACAAAAGCTTGTTTTGATTCTTTGTATGATTACATTGGAGGACACTAGAGTGAATGATTAGAAGGTGAGAAGAGGTAGAATGGTAGGAGGTGGTGTTACAGGAAATTTATAGGACTTCAGAGGGCTGTAAAATAGGCTACTTTCATGCTGTGCCTTTTTTTTTTCCCCTGAGTGACTAAATTACAAGGTTGAAGATTCTCTGCATTGCTTATTTGTGGGTCTGTGAAGCCAAGTCTTGAAATAATAGAGTAGATAGGAGGGAAAGAAATGTGTTTGGGTAAGTGACACCTGTGAGCCAGATGTAGGGGTCTTCTAGGAAAGTTTTTTCTGTAACAAATATTTGGAATATTAATTTTCATATCTTTCCAGTCCTATCTTTTTTTAAAAATATTTTATTTATCTTTAGAGGGGAAGGGAAGGAGAGAGGGAGAGAAACATCAATGTATGGTTGCCTTTTGTGCGTCCCCTGCTGGGAACTGGCCTGCAGGGAACTGGTCTGCAACCCAGGCATGTGCCCTGACTGGGAATCGAACCGTGATTGTCTGGTTCGCAGGCCGGCGCTCAATCCACTGAGCTACACCAGCCAGGGCTCCAGTCCTATCTTAGGTACATACTCTCTTTCAGATGGTTGGTTACATTAAAATCCTTAATGCAGGGCACAAAATATTTTATGCTGTGGATTTAGCATCTTATTCTCATGAGAGAATGTTAAAAGCTAGGCTTTTCCATGTATACGTAATTCACAGTCATTGTATACTTCATGAGACTTCTCAGTATGGATCCTGTCACTTTTAAACACCTTTCATCTCTCCTCACCCCCACGTGTTATTTGTTCAAGTATAGCAAAAATTCAGACCATTTTCATGGCAGTAGATATTAGATGTGAGCCATCACTGAATGTACAATAATAATAAGAAATGATCTGAAAGTTCTATTGGAGTTCCTTTCTATGTTACAACTTTTTAGTTCATTGTAGTAGTAAAAATGTGGTTTCACTTTATTATACACGCACTACGGATTTAGTTTATGATTTGTGTAACTGCTTATTAAATCACTTTATTCCAAACAGGAAATGATGGATATCAAGCATTTCATCGATAAACTCCTACCTCCAGTTGATTGACACCTCTAAGGGGCCTTGTGTAGAAGTACACACCAGCATTATTGTAGTAGAATATCAACCTTTCCTGGTGCCCAATCTTGAAACTTACAAATGTTTGCAGTGTTAAAATGTTTTGCAAATACATACCAGTGACACAGATTAATATCTCCTCATGGAAATTTATGATCTATTAAGTTTCGATACATGTATTTGTATAATATGATCTAGAATATACTAGCATTAAAATAGGTGAAGCAGCTAGCTCTTTTTCCGAAATGTCATTTGGCAAAATAATAAAATACTGCAACCAGGTTTTCTATTACATTATTTGAAAATTATTAGTATGCTAATGAAAAATTATTCAGGTAGAAATGAGTGGTTAAAATATAAACTACTTATGAATGCTATACTTAGTCTATGAACTTATTCCCAAAATACCTAGTCACCATACAGTATCTATTTTTTATATATGTATTTAGATTAACTCGATTATAATACATAAAAAGAATGAAGTGTAATTACATTATTCCTAATAAGAGGGATATTACTACTAAGTGTCAATAAAGAGAATATTGCTCTCTTCAATTAATGGCCCTTTTATTTTGGGGACCAGGCTTTTCTTTCCCTGTTACAATTTCTTAATATTCTGTTTTCCTCTCTGGAAAATAAATGTATTTTCTTTTTATCCTTCAAGGTAGACCAAATATTGTGTATTTGCCATAGACATCTGCTATCAATACATGCTGTATTAATAATTGGACATTCTGACTCACAGACATGGTGGTATTTAAAATTTATTTATACTTATATAAAGAAACCAAACATCACTTCAAACTTCCTACATTACTTATTTTTTGAACTGTACTTTAGTCCAAAGTTAGATCTATATAGTTATTAGAATCTTCAATCCAAGTAGGAAGAATTATGTGGCTGTATTTTCCTGTAATTCAAAGAATTATTAGGTTATATTCTAGTATGTTCTGGAATATTTAAGACTGATCTTAAAAACTAATTTCTAAAATGATTATCTCTAAGATGATTCTCCTGGTAGCATAGAGTTTGTTTACGTATTTTGTACATATGTTTGAAATCAGCCACTGTAGGAAATGAACATTCTATTAGAAAAATTTGTTTTACTTTTATTTGCAATAGACTTATTTGAAATTTTCATTTTAGCAGATGATTTTTTAAATTTTTGTGCAAAGATACAAGTAGCAATTATTTGATTTTGAATAGTTGAATTTTTTAGATTATTGGTAAAAACTATTTGAAAACGAATTTATCAGCTTAAAGGTTAACCAGAAGTCAGTACATATGGGACACTTACCACACGGTTTAATTAACATGTAGCAAAAATATACACTTCATATTTCTGAAGCGTTAGTTTTTACTCCGTATTCCAACTGATTAAAAGTGTTAGGAATGCATCTTTATAAATGGGTGCTAATTGATAATGGAAATAATTTAGCAATGGATTATATAGAATGTTAATAATGAAGCCATATGTTTATATCCAGATTTAAAATTTTTGAACATTCAGTAAGTCATTTTGATTTACCTCCATGAATATAAACTTGTTTCAGTTATACAAATCAGCAAGATATGACTTATTACGTTGAAATTTGCTGTAGTGTTGGAAAATATGTCTTTTCCACAGTTTCTATCAATGTGAAATAAAATTTAATTCTGACCTCTGTGACTGTTTTTATTATTACGTTTTTTAACATCTGGGGTTGCTTTGGAATGACGGTCTATAATTAAAAAAGGAAAATGAGAATGTGATCACAGGAATGTACATTCAGAGAGAAATGGAATGGATCTAGCATGAGAAAAGCTTCCCTTTCTATGCAATTTTATTAAGCTAAAAAAATTCTTAATTGATTTTTTAGTGTACCCAACCTATTTAAGAAGCTTTATTTGGTGTTTTGTCTCTTCCTTTTGTATAGTATTCATGGGCTTTTAAAATTAGTCATAAATCAGTTATATAAGTTTTTTCTCCTTTAAAAAACATTTTCAGTTACAGTTGACATTCAGTATTATATTAGCTTTGGTAAATTAATATACTAATTAGACATTGACATAACTTATGAAATGATGCTGCCAATAACTCTTGCACCCACCTGACACCAAACATAGTTATTACAATATTATTTACTATATTCCCTAAACTGTACTTTACATTGCTGTGACTATTTCGTTTCTTCAAGTTTGTGTTGCTTAATCCCTTCACCTTTTTCACACAGCCACACAGTCCCCCTCCCATCTGGAAACCCATGTTCTCTGTATCTATGAGTTTGTTTCTGTTTTGTTTGTTTTTTAGATTCTACATACAGATAAAAACACATTTTTCCCCTCATTTATTTCACTTACCATAATACTGTCTAGGTCCATTCATGCTGTTGCAAATAGTATGATTTTATTCTTTTTAAGATTTTTTTTAAGGTTTTATTTATTTTTAGAGGTGAAAGGAGAAAGAGGGAAACATCAATTTCTGGTTGCCTCTCACGGCCCCCAATACTGGGCATCTGGCCTGCAACACAGTCATGTGCCCTTACTAGGAATCCAACTGGAGACCCTTTGGTTCTCTGGTCGGTGCTCAATCCATGCAGCCACACCAGCCAGGGATTTTATCCTTTCTTATGGCAAAATAATATCCCATTATACATTTGTACTACATCTTTTTTATGCATTGAACTTTAAAACAATTTATTAACTGTATTGGGATGATAATGGTTAATTAAATTATATAGATTTCAAGCATATAATTCACATGCTTGGGGCTTGACTACCCATCATGATCTGCCTAGTTAGAATTTATGATCCGTATCACCCTGTGAGGTTACCTTTCCATAGAACCCCTTGTCCACAATTAAGTCATGTTTTGACTAATGGTGGTTAAATTTAATCTGGGAATATGTCTGCAAACAGCATGAGGTGGTAGTGTTACTGGAAGAACTCAGCTGGCGAACACTGGAGGAAGAGAAGTGGTTCCTTTATGCATGCAGACCCAGAGGAAGCAGTCTCCAAATTCTGGCCCCTGGACTGTGGGGGGCAGTTGCTTTTATAGGGTTAGGGGCGGAACGTTACTTCTGGAGCGAAAGTGGCAAGCAGCTTGCAGAAGCAGGAAGCAAGGAAGCCAAGTTATTTCCTGGATGGTGTGCTATGTATCTTTTTCCTAAAATGGCTGCCAGTTTCCTCTAACAGTAGTAAAAGTTACAATTGGGATATTGAAAGAGCTCTCTGTTGTAGACGATCGGCAGGTAAATACACACTCTCGGAGTCCGGAAACGAATTGATAAAAATTTTAATGGCCAAAGATTTTCCTCCACAGGGGCTAACTTCCCCAACTGTGACCGGAGTCACGTAGCTACTCAGAGCTACAAAATGGAAGTCGCGCCTGGCTTACAGACTACTGGGTATTTATATTTTCTAGCAAGCAAGCAAAGGCATACAGAAGCAGAGGTGGCGGTTAGCTATTGGCTTATTTAAAAACGGCGAGGGTCCCTGATTGGTGGGTGCTGCTGCTGGCGGGCACTTTCTGGCAGCCGGGTTAGTTTAGTTACCTTATTTGGCTAGAATTTTAAACCCAATTGTTCCCGGATGTTTGTTCATTACCCTGTTCCAGGAACTGCAGATTTAGGGTTGGGTAATGCCCTAGCTATAATTTTCCTAGCTGGGTATGACACTCCCCCCTTTTCTGTGGGGAGGTGGTCAAACCATTGACTCATCTTCTTGGGGTAAGATGGTGTAGGGTTGGGATAGGACCATTAGCTTGACAGCATCTATTCTGTCTTTGTTGAACGCAAACACTTTGTTTAATATTATGGGTCCTATTGTTAAAATTAATATTACTGTTAGTAAAGGCCCTAGCAAGGGGAGTAAGAGAGGGAGGAAACCATGTAGGCTTTGGTACACATACCCATTCGGGCTGGCTGACTCCTGTGGAGGTTCTAGAATAGGCTAGGTAAGCTACAGTGGCTCCACAATCCGTGGTCCATGTATAGGAGGAGGGTATGGCATAGTCAGTACGAGTTCCTCCTCTACACTCACAGGGTGGTCCAAAAAGGGCTGCGTGGAGGTCCTTGGGGCTAGCTTGGAATCCTCCACGGGTTAGGGGTAGAGTTACTACAAGCAGGAAAAGTCTTACTGTTTGAGAAATTTCAGTCTTAGCGGTTGCTCAGGATCTTTGCTGATTCGCCATGTTCCTTGGTGGTCCTCCAGGGGCTGGGCTGGCTTGGTACGTGATAGGTGAATCCAGTAGGGCTTCTCTGCTACTCGTACTGCAGAGAGGGTGCTGAGCAGGACCTAGAAGGGGCCAGTCCACCTCCGCTCTAGGCTTCCCCGGCGATGGTTAAGGACCCAGATCCATTGTCCCGGTTCAGGTGGAGCTGGCCATCGGGTTGTCTCAGCTGGAGGCTGGTGGCGTAGGACTCGTATCTCCTGTCGCACCTGTTGCAAAGCCTGGAGGGACCCTCTCTTCTCCCGTCACAGCCTTGGCTGCTTCTCTCATAATTCGGTCCCTTTCCTCAGAGGTGAAAAGGGTCTGGAGTATCTGCTGGCAGTCATCCCAGGTTGGCTGGTGGGTCCTGAAAATGGTTTCTAAAAGGGAAATGAGGCCTTGGGGTTTTTCAGAAAAAGGAGGATTCTGGAGTTTCCAATTATACAGGTCACTGGTTGAAAAAGGAACATAGACTAGTTGAGGTGGTGCCTGTGCTGGTGCATCTGGGCCAGGCGGCACCTCACAGGCAGAATGGCGGCGCCTCCCTGCTGAGGCAACCCATGTGGTGTCCCGCCCCTGGTATGGGGCAGGCTCCTGAGGTCACCTCCCGTGGTGGAATCTGGTTGTGGAGGATTGTAGGGTGGCGTCGCAGTAGGCTCGATCAGGGGGTCCTCCGGGGCTTCAGAGAGAACTGGGTATAAACGAGGCTTTTCCTTAGCTGAACCCGGGACCGGGGTTCCCTGTCCCCTCGGGCGGCAGGCTCTACTACCCCCCCTCGCCGCAACACAGACACTGCGCTGCATCCTCCTCCGGTCAGGCTGGCATGGCCGGATGTAACCTGGACGCTCGGTGGCTATGTCCACCCAAACGTCGATGTATACCATCTGGTCCGGATGAGGTACCTGGTATACTACTCTCTGTACTGCATATAAGATGGGAAGATCGAAGGTCCCCTCAGTGGGCCACCCTACGTTGAAGGTGGGCCATTCTAGTTCACTGAAGGTTCGCAGTACCTCAGGGTCGGGCGGCGGGCCCCCATAACCCCGGGCGCGCTTCTGAAAATCAGAAAAATTATTTAGGAGGCATTCATGCGCGGTCTTGGGCGTAGATCCTCCCTGTCCCATCTTGGAATTGCGGCGGGAGACCTCGGTGATCTCCCAGAGTCCTAGGGCTACTAATAAGAGTTGTTAAGCCTAGAGGGAACACATATAATTTTAGACACAATTTCTGGACAAACAACAAAAGGCGCCCACACAGACACAAATCTTTTCACGCAACCACAATATCGCTGTGCAAAGCGGCGCGAAAACCAAAACCAATTGCGACCCAGTCGAGGGAGCCCAGCTCCGATTCTCGAGAGTGTCCTCTCCTTGGGAATCCCCCGGGGGGGACTGCCAGTAGCATCCCACCTACCCCCTCGGGGCTCAAGAGGTCTAGACCGTTTCCAAGATCGAGGTACCCCAGTTCTGCCGAAACTTACCGGGCCGGCGGTTGATGGTCTTCAGAGTGTATGTAGATCCCGGACGAGCCCCCAAATGTTGTAGACGATCTGCGGGTAAATACACACTCTCGGAGTCCGGAAACGAATTGATAAAAATTTTAATGGCCAAAGATTTTCCTGCACAGGGGCGAACTTCCCCAACTGTGACTGGAGTCACGTAGCTACTCAGAGCTACAAAATGGAAGTTGCGCCTGGCTTACAGACTACTGGGTATTTATATTTTCTAGCAAGCAAGCAAAGGCATACAGAAGCAGAGGTGGCGGTTAGCTATTGGCTTATTTAAAAACGGCGAGGGTCCCTGATTGGTGGGTGCTGCTGCTGGCGGGCACTTTCTGGTGGCCGGGTTAGTTACCTTATTTGGCTAGAATTTTAAACCCAATTGTTCCCGGATGTTTGTTCATTACCCTGTTCCAGGAACTGCAGATTTAGGGTTGGGTAATGCCCTAGCTGTAATTTTCCTAGCTGGGTATAACACTCTCCAGTATTAATATATTTCAGTTTTGTGCTTTGGCTTTGTTTTGTTAGTTATAATTCTTAAGGATGTCAATTCCCTCACTGACTTTCAGAAACAGGTGAGATGCCTGATTTCTCTGATGAAAAAGTGCTAATTATCAATCAACTATACTCAAAGTATTATATCCGACATCCCGAGTCACGAAACAAAATTGGGTCTCAGTCTTTTAAGGAACTTCAAAGCAATCTGAATTTTAAAAATAAAAACTTAAAACGACCAAATACATATTATTATTATTATGCACTATTTAGGGTAGTGGGTGGGGGTCTGTTTTTCAAGGTAGCAGGTTACCACAGAAAAAATGTTCGGGTTCCACCGTCTTGGAAAGCCGCCAACGTCTCATTCTCTGAACCCGCCTCAGTTCAGAGTTCCGTGGGTTCCAAACCTCGGAGTTGTCCCGGGAAACCAGCGCTGGGTGACGCTCCACTCCGTGTGGAGGCGGGGCCGGAGGAAGCGAACGCGCGCCAAAAGTCAACCTTGCATTCTGCAAGCTTTCATCACTGCCGGGCGGGAAACAGCAGCAGGACTCACTTGTCGCCTTACTGACAACTCCCTCGCTGGCGCCTAAGATCGCCAATTCCCGACGATCCGCTGTCGATTGGTAGCGCCTGCGCGGAGCTTGATTGGCACCGCCTGTGGGGCGGAGCTGCAGACGCCTCCGCCGCCACGGCTCGGGTCCCGAGGAAGGGCCTAGGTCAGAGCTCTCGTCCCACCGTGGTTTCTGCCGGAGTTTTGCCCACTTCCCGCCCAAGCGGGCTGGGTGCGGGGAATACCTACCGGAACCATGGAGGACGAGGTGGTTCGCATTGCCAAAAAAATGGACAAGATGGTGCAAAAGAAGAACGCGGTGAGTGCGGCGGGCGGTGCGGGCCGGGAGGGAGGCCGCCGGCAGGGACGCGGTGGGCCTCCTGGCCTGGCCGGACTGGGCTCCCGGCCCGCCCAAGACAGCCCTACTTGCGTTGGAAGCCGGCGTTGGAAGCCGGCGTAGACGGCGCCCGCGTCTAGGGGAAGCCGTCCTGAGGGTGGTACTGTGGGCGCGGAGCCGCAGGCGTGGAGCCGCGGGCGTTTGGACCGGTTCTTGGTACTTGGAAGTCTCTCGTTCTTAGTACCACATAATTAACCTAATCGAGTCATTCTCTCTTTTTATTTTAAACTTTCGTGGTAGTAAATTCTCGCTAATGTAGCCTAAGAATTGAGGAGTATGTAAAGCCCTCACTTTTTAAATAGAATTCATTCTCTTTTCGGTGATCGTTGGCTAGCAACTACAAATAACATTAGTTTCGTGATCTGCTTAGACATCAAGCTAGTAAGTAAGTGTACAATTCCTGGACCTTATTTTTGAAAAGGCCAAACATTCACTTATCTCAACTACGTACGTTTGTTTAACGATTAAAAAGGGCAAACGTGCCAGTGAACTTGGCGGGTTGCTAAATGTCTTTTAAAAGGTGGATCTTGCTAGGTGATCATATGTGTAAACGAGCTATGACTAAAACACATAAATTAATTGCAGTATGCAGGGGAATACGGCAGATGAATTTGGACAGATGTCATCACTGGGCATGGTCTAAGTGGTTTACAGTTAATACTGGTGGCATTATCTTGTTATTTGTTGTAGATAATGTGTTTATGTGAACATGTTTTCTTCTGGTTCGTTTGAGACATGTCTTCCAGTTTCTGCATTTTGGTTTACCTGTGTGTGTCACTTTAAATCCCTTGCTTCGGATCATCTGGTTTCAGCTAAACTTACACAGTTGTCTTTACTTGATTTGTTCCTCCTTGGTCAGCACGTTTTCCATATTAATGTACCTGAAATAATCTATTCCTGTCAATGGAATAAATTTCGTGTCAAACTAACGTGAAGGAGAATAAGGATGTTCTGATTTTTACAGCACTTTAGAGTTACAAAGCTGATGTGCAGATTTCTTTTGCTGCAACACAGCGGTGGTGTATCCGTTTTACAGAAAAAGAAACTGAGTTAGAGATACTGTGCAGTTTGGATTAAGCCAGAGAATCCTGGCTTTCTGCCGGACAGCATGCTAGAGCAGGAAATAGTGTTTAACACTGAATTCTTAAGACTTAATACTCTGTTCCTCTTTTTCTTTAACAGGTGCATTGTCCAGTGTTTAATTTTGTACTCTGTTAATCTGTATTTGCAATTTGGCCTTTTAAAGTATTTCCTGTTACTGCTCCAAACATTACTTCTGCCATTTATTTTTTCCTGTTGATTTCCCTTTCATTCCCCACTGCAAGTGGTGAGTTCTAGTTATCTGATAGGCTGAACATTTATTTCTGTCATTTTGTTTAAACTGGAAAATTTTTTTATTTTCCTGGAGATCCCCAGACTCCCACAGTAGAAGGTCCCAGGGAAAAAGTCTGTTTGGGGGGTAATTTTTTCTGTTTCTCAGGCTATAATGTGTATCCTTTAATCATCTAACCCATTTTAGAGTTTTGTTTTGTTTGTTTCTGTTCCTTGTAATTGGAGTCTCCTAAAAATGACTAATTCCTTAGGGGGCAAGTATGAAGATCAGTTTGTATTTATTTGCAGTTTTCAAGTTATAAATGTATTTTCAGGTCTTTGGTAAATAGCCTTGGGGAGAAGTATAAACCCTACGGATAATCCTCATCTCATTTTTAATAGTTCAAAACTTTACCAGTTCAAAAACTCGCCTCCCCCAAAAGAATGGTAAAATTGGCTGTTTTACATTTTTTCTTTTTCCCTTTCTGTTTTACAGAAGTTCAAATAGGCAAATGAAATAAAGAGAAAGGGAAATGGTCTAAATGATTTTTCTCCCCCCCCCCCAAAAAAAAAACCCAAGTGTTCAGTAATTTAACAGAAATTGTTCTTGGGGTTGTTGAATTATAGTTGTTTCTCTTTTCTTGTGGTTTCCAGCTTTTCTCAGTGAGCTATTTTTATGTTATGAAAAAGTAAATTTTGCTTGAAAAGTAACTTGTCCTTCCAACTGACAGGTTTAAGTGCTATTACTGGATATTGTTTGAATAAAACTGTAGGTGTCACACTTAAGTAAAAACAACTCATTTATTGAGCTATTACTCTGAGCTAGGCATTCTACTAAGTACTTATCTTACCTTATATCATTTATTTATTAGACAGTTTTGCAAGATAAGTATTAACCCTATTTTTTAAATGAGGAAATTAAATATTCAGAAAATTGAGTAAATTGTCCTAAGCCAAATGTCTAAATAGTGGCCAAGTGAAGGTGGGAATTTAAATCTGTTTTGCTCAAAAAAGAGTACTACTACTCAGTTAAGCTTCAGTGCCTCACTAGAAGACCCTTGCCAGGTACCTGTTTTTGAATCTTGCATGGTGTCAGTGAAAGGTTGTTGCCACCAATCCAATGCCAACAGGAGTGTCCAGTTTGGGGTGCTGCGAAGGGAGAAATGATTCCAGTGACACAGCTCAGTTGACACAGTTTGCAAACCTTGGAAATGCAGTCTTCAGTAGAAACCAAAAATGGGCTCCTGGAAGACCAAGGGAAGGCTGTCCTGTATAGAGAAAAAGCACCCCTGCCCTTTGCCATTTCTGATCGATCTACTCTCATGTAAATAAAGACTCAAAATTCCCCCTGTTCTGATTGGATGGGGAAAGTCTCAGTCCCATTGGTGAAATACAATACCAGGAGCTTACTTTTTTTAAAGATTTATTTATTTGGCGCTTGCTGGTGTAGCTCAGTGGATTGAGCACAGGTCTACGAACCAGAGATTCGCCGTTCAATTCCCAGTCAGGGCACATCCCTGGGTTGCAGGCCAGTTCCCAGCAAGGGACACATGAGAGGCAACCATACATTGATATTTCTCTTCCTCTCTCCTTCCCTTCCCCTCTAAAGATTAAAAAATTTTTTTATTTTTTTGTTTATCTGTTTATTTACTTACTTATTTGTAGAGAAGGGGAGGTAGGGAGAAAGTTCAAGAAAGAGAAACATTGATATGAGAGAGAGTGAAAGAAACATCCATTGGTTGCCTGTTGCCAGCACCCCCAACCTGGGACCAGACCTGCAACGTTGGCCCCGCATGACCAGAAATCGATTCGGCCACTTTTGCTTTGTGGGATGCTGAGCCACACTGGCCAGGGCATCAGGAACTTCATTTGTAAGGGTATGCTCAGATGGCAGGAACACAATACAGAGAGGCTTGGCAGGTCAGTCTATGGCTTTTCTCTGAGATGTAGTGAGCATGGGAGGCCTCTGTAAAGAATAGCTGCTAGACTCTGGTTATGAATTTGGGCCCAATTAACCAAGAGTCCTTTGTGCCAGGTATATTCATTCTCAGAGTTGACAGTGGGTACACTTAAGTGAATATAAGACTAGGAAGTAAGAGTGTTTACTGTTCTGGGGCAGGCCGGTTTTCCTAAATACTCAAAATCCTGACTTTTATTTCTTATTACCCAGAATGTTGCCCCACTGGTATACTTGATCTTAAGTTGCTCACTTCTGAGACCATGATGAATCACATAAATTATTCAAATGATCACATATTAGCTGTTTTTCAGCTACCTTTTTTTTTTTTCTTGACATTATGACTTGATGCCATTAAGCAAGTCTAACTCCCATTATGGGTACAAATTCTGTCTCTTTTGGATTTTAGCCATGTGATCTCAGACAGGTTCTTTAATGTCTCTAAAATGTCTTCTTTGGTTGCAAATTGGAGACAATTTAGTACAGATTAGATGGAAGTAAAATTCTTCTCAGTGCCTAAGATATGGTAATGGCTAAAAACATGGCTTGTTTTTGTAAGGGATTTATCACACTGGACTGCAAAAGGAGGAGTGAGGTTAAGAATTTTCAAGTTCATGGAGAGATTTTGTGAATTGTGTTGAGGTTGTTTTTTTTTTTTTTAATTTAAGGCTCAGGGCTGGGTGGAATTAAATTGCTGGGAGACATATTGAAATTAAATGTTAGAATTAGCTGAAATGTGTAGATTTCTAAGTTTTATCATACCCAATTTGAAAAATAAAGCTTTGGTTTCCATAGCAGGGTTAAATTGATTAAATGTAGAATGACTATACAGTTTTTTTTATAAGTTTTATTAAGATATCCAATAAAATTCACCCTTTTCAAGTGTACAGTTAAATGGGTTTTAGTATAGTCATAGATTTGTGCAACAATCACCACTAATTTTAGAATATTTTCATCACTTTGGAAGAAACCTGTACCAGTAAAGTAACCCATTAAGAAGTCACAATATCTCCCCTACCCTCCCAACTACAAATCTACTTTCTATCTCTATAGATACTTCTGGACATTTCATATAAATGGAATTATACAGTATGTGGTCTTCTGTGACTGGCTTCCAATTTGCCTGGTGTTTTCAAGTTTCATTCATGTGAATAGCATATATCAGTACTTTATTTCTTTACATTGCTGAATAATGACTCCACTGTATTGGTGGGTTTACCACATTTTGGCCTCTTTGCACTTTGGGTATTATGAATAATGCTGCTAAGAATATTCTAATACACGTTTTTCTGTGGACATAAGTTTTCCTTTCTGTTTCATATATAACTTAGGAGTAGAATTGTTAGGTCATGTGATAACTATGTTTAACCTTTTGAGAAACTGCTAGGCAATTTTCCGTAGTTGCTGCACCATTTATGTTCTGACCAACAGTCTATTAAGGATTCCACTTCCATCACATCTTCTGATTATAACCATTGTAGTGGCTGTAAAGTGGTATCTCACTGTAGTTTTGATTTGCATTTCTTTGATCACCAGTGATGATGAACATTTTTTCATTGCGTGTTGGTCATTTGTATATCTTTGGAGAAATGT